CTAAGAAGAATCAATGCATTTGAATTATGCTGCTGGCGAAGCATGTCAAAAACACCATGGACTACCAAAAGACACACAAACCTGTCTTGGAAGAAGCACAGCAGAATGCTCCTGAGAAGCAAGGATGGTGAGACTTGGCCTCATGCACTTTGGGCATGTTACCAAGAGAGACCAGGCCCTGGAAAAGGTCATCATGCTTGGTAAAGGAGAGGGGTAGCGAAGGAGGGGAAGGCCCCTCATAGAGATGGGCTGACACGGGGCTGCCTCACGAGGCTCGAGCACAGGAGCAGTTGTGACGATGGCGCAGGACCAGGTGGTGTTTCACGCCGCCGTTGTAAGTTGGAGTGGACTCAAGTCATCTAACCGCAGCAGGCTGTCCCTCTTCACAGGGGCAGGGAGTGCCATCCTCCTTCTGCGGAGCCGTGTGCAGGAGTGGGCTGCCGACCTTGTGCTTAGTGGCCCAGTGCCACCAGGACTTCTTACATCCAGCTACCCCTTTATTATTACCAGAAAATAGACCACAAGTGTAGACTCATCAGACAGGACCTGGAGGAGGTTTCTGAGCCAGGAGGGACTTGTCATATACCCTCTCCCTTGCCTCGGTGAACTTACCAATCCAGGAAGCTTCGAAAGACCTCATGTCCCAGTGTCCCAGTGATTACTGGGACCTCTGTGCCTGCATGACCTACAAGCGATGACAGTTCAATCAATGAATATGCATAAGGCATCTTGCTGCCCCCGCCCCCATTCCTTCCCCTTTGATTCACCTGGCCTGATATGGATGGGGACTGTGTAGTTCCGTCTCTGACTGTTTTGAAAAACAAAGATATCTTGATTAGGTGGGTGTTGTTTTCAGAAAGCAGAGTCAACGGACCAAACCAGAGTTCTTTATCTCCCACTGAGCCTTTCCTTACCCTTAGCTTTAGTGGAAGCGCATTAAGGACAAGGAGTTTGCTTTTTCTGTCTCTGTATCCCAGCGATTTGATGAGCTACTTAGTCAAATGTGTTGAATGAACAAACAACACTAACTACCACTTATTGAGGACGTAGCCTTTGTCAGCCAGAATGCTGGTTATTTATATCACCTAGAATTCTTTTAAATATAAACAGCACCAGCCATTACTGCCTTTAATTATATGGCATAGCTGGACATTTAGAGCTAATTAGACCAGGCTGTTCGAAGACGAGGATGAGGAGGAATGGGCTCCAGGGATCCAGGCACTGAAAGACCATCCCTTCCAACCACCTACAGCCCATGTTCTCTGTGAAATTGCTCTCCCACTACACCTGCTAATGCCCTAGAGCAGGGTTGGGGAACCTTTTCTTCAGCCAAGAGCCATTTGGAGATATACATATAACATCATTTATGGGCCTGGCAGAATTACCAAATTAAAAATTTGACTCAAGATGATCCTGTATAGCAGTGGTTCTCAACCTCC